TTGGGCCATAGGGGTCATCCCTAGTTGCCTGGCTCATGGCTCTGGGATGATTCAAGCACAGGAATATTGCCTCTTGGTATATCTGGACCAGTTATAGGAGGTATGACTAATGGTTAAGTTTAACTGTTAAAGAGGGACAGCTCTTCTCTCCCTAGGAAATAACCTTTCAAAGAGAGTAAGAAACTTCATTACCATAGTAGAAAAGCAGCCACAAATTAAGAAAGTGTTCAAGCTCAGTATTTAATTATTTCAATTTTACTCACTTTACTGAACCCCTAACATCACATTGGACTAATCTATTAACAGAAGCAGCAATGTTAGTATAAGTAACAACAGCATTCTCTCCTGCATAAGCTTATATCAGACTGGAATAACTACTGCCAGTTAACAGCCCAATTATAATAACTTATATTCTAAACACCTTATTAAACTGTTAAACTGACTCAGGCATGTCCTTAAGGAAAGATTTAAAAAAGTAAAAGGAGCTCGGCAAACCTTACCCCCACCTGTTTACCAAATATATCACCTCAAGCATTACCAGTATTAGAGGCACTGCCTGCCCAGTGACACATGTTCAATGGCTATGCTACCCTGACTGTGTAAAGGTGGCATAATCACTTGTTCCCCATATAGGGACTTGTATGAATGGCCACACAAGGGTCTAACTGTCTCTTACTTTTCATCAGTGAAACTGATCTATCCCTGAAGAGGTGGATATGACCAAATAAGATGAGAAGATCCTATGGAGCTTCAATTTCCTAATACAAACAACACTCAAAAGAATTACAGGCATTAACTAATCATCCATGCATTAAAAATTTTGGTTGGGGTGACCTCAGTGTACAATATAACCTCCAAACAATATAAACTAAGACCACACTAGTCTAACTAAATGAACACACATTGGCCCAATAACTTGATCAACAGACCAAGTTACCCTATGGATAACAGCAAAATCCTATTCTAGAGTTCATATCGACAATGGGGTTTACCACCTCAATGTTGGATCAGGATATCCCAATGGTGCAGCCACTATTAAAGGTTCGGTTTTTCAACGATTTAAGTACCACATGATCTGAGTTCAGACCGAAGACATCCAGGTCAGTTTTTATCTATTCAATATTTCTCCCAGTACTAATGAACAAGAGAAATAGAGCCTACTTCACAAAGCACCCTAACCCAACAGATGATATTATCTCAATCTAACAAACAATTTTCCCTGCCTGAGAACAGGACTTGTTAAGACGGCAGAGCCCAGTACCCACATAAGACTCAAAGCTTTATAATCAGAGGTTCAATTCTTCTTAACAGCATGTTCATGATTAACCTCCTCCTACTAATTATTCCTGCCCTAATCGGCATTTCTAACACCTATAGAACAAAATATTCTAGGCTATATACAACTACATAAAGGGCCCAACATCATAGGTCCCTATGCAATACTTCAACCATTCACCAACACAATAAAACTTTTCATAAAAGAATCCTTATGACCCTCCACATCCACTATAACCCTTTATATAACCACTCCAACCTTGGCCCTTTCCATCGCCCTCCTTCTATGGGCTCCTCTCCCCATACCAGATCCCCCAATCAATTTCAACTTAGGCCTTCTATTTATATTAGCTGCATCAAGCCTGGCCATTTATTCCACTTTATGATGTAGGTGAGCACCCAATTCAAACTATGCACCAACTGGTGCATTACAAACTGTATCCCAGACAATTTCACACGAAGTCACCCTAGCCATCATTCCATTAACAGCCCTACTAATCTCATTTAATTTATATATACTCATTACAACACAAGAACATTTCTGACTTCTACCACCATGACTCCCAGCCATAATATGATTTATCTCCACATTAGCAGAAACGAACTGAGCTCCTTTCAGCCTAACAGAAGGAGAATCAGAACTAGTCTCAGGTTTCAACATTAAATATGCTGCAGGTTCATTCACTCTCCTTTATGGCAGAATACATAAATATTATTATAATAAATGCCTTCACTACCACTGTTTTTCTAGGAGCACCCCACACCATAATTTCACCAGAACTTTATACAATAAATTTAATCACCAAAACCCTTCTCTTAACCACCCTATTTTTATGAATCTGAATGAATCCTCAATTCTCTTATGACCAATATATTATGAAATAAAATTGTTTATCACTTACACTAGCACTGTGCATATGATATATCTCAATACCTATTCTAATGTCCAGCATCCCACCCCAAACGCAAGAAATATGTCCAAAAAAAAAGAGTTACTTTGACAGAGTAAATTATAGAGTTTTAAATCCTCTTATTTTTAAGGCTAGAGAAATTGAACCCACACCTGAGAATTCAAAGCTTTCTATGCTATGTATTACACCATGCATGAAAGTAAGGTAAGCTAACCAAGCTATTGGGCCCATACCCTAAAAATGTTGGTTTAATCCTTCCTGTACTAATTAACCCACTAGCCCAACTCACCATCTCCCTTACTACCTTTACAGGAACTTTCATTACAATATTATGCTCACACTGATTCCTCATCTGAGCAGGTTTAGAAACAAATTTATTAGCCATCATGCCAATCCTAATAAAAAAACATAAGCCACCACTCCACAGAAGCAGCCACCAAATACTTCCTAACACAAGCAAGCATATCCATAATTCTTATAATAGCTATTCTTTCTAACAACCTGCTCTCTGGACAATGAATAATTACTCCCACATTAACCACCTTTCATCAATAATAATAATAATAATAATAATAGCTCTGGCAATAAAACAAGAAATAGCCCCCTTTCACTTTTGACTCCCTGAGGTAAGCCAAGAAACCCCCCTAATACCTGCTATACTTCTCCTCACATGACAAAAACTACCTCCCATCTCATATAACTTCAACTCTTTCCATCAATCAGCACAAATAACCTCCTATTAATTTCAATTTTAATCGTTATAATTGGCAGCTGAGAAGGACTTAATCAAACACAACTACATAAAATCCTAGCCTATGCTTCAATTACCCATATAGGATGAATAACAGCAGTATTAACCTATGATCCAAACATCACCATCATAAATTTACTTATTTACTATATTCTAACAACTTCTATATCCATAATACTTAACTTAAACTTGAATACTAAAACCCATCACTATCCCATACCTGAAATAAACTAACATGATTAATACCTATTATTCCACTAATTCTGTTATCCCTAGGAGGCCTACCACCATTAATAGGATTCTCTCCTAAATGAGCAATCTAACAAGAGTTTACAAAAGCAATAACCCCATTATTCCAATTACTATACGATAATAACTCTATTAAATCTATACTTTTACATATGCCTAATTTAATCTATTTCAATAACAATATTTCCTACATCCATCAACATAAAAATAGAATGACAATTTGAAAAAATAAAACCCATACTGTTCCTTCCTCCATTTATTATTTTTTCCACTCTCCTACATATAACCCTGTCAATATTAATCACAAGTGAGAGCCTTGAAAGCTCTCAAGAAGTAAATTATACTTAATTTCTGTATCAATTCTATGGACTGCAAAACTTTAAATCAGTTGAACGCAAATCAACTACTTTCGTTAAACCAAGCCCTTCCTAGATGGATGGGACTTTAACCCACAAAAATTTAGTTAGCAGGTAAATAACTTATCAATGGGCTTCAATCTACTTCTCCTGCCATAAGAAAAAAAAAGGCAGGAGAAGCCCCAACAGGATTGAAGCTGCTCCTTTGAATTTGCAATTCAATATGATAGTATCTCCTCAGGACTGGTAAAAAGAGGCCTATTCCCCTGTCTTTAGATTTACAGTCTAATGCTTCCTCAGCCATTTTACCTTTTTCTACCTATACTCATCAACTGCTGAATATTTTCAACTAATCATAAAGATATCAGAACATTACATCTATTATTCAGTGCATGAGCAGGAATAGTAGGCACAGCCCTAAGCCTCCTAATTCTGGCAGAATTAGGCCAGCCAGCAACCCTACTAGGAGATGACCTTATCTATAATATTATTGTCACCACTTACATATTTATTGTAATTTTCTTCATAGTAATACCAATCATGATCGGAGGCTTTGGCAACTGACTTGTCCCCCTAATAATTGGTGCCTGATATAGCATTCCCTCAAATAAATAACAGAAGCTTCTGACTTCTCCCCACATCCCTTCTACTCCTACCTGCGTCCTCAATATTAGAAGCCGGTGCTGGAACCAGCTGAACAATCCATCTATCCTCCCCTAGCAGGAAGCCTGGCACATGCAGGAGCCTCTGTAGATTTAACTATCTTCTCACTCCATCTAGCAGGTATTTGTTCTATCCTAGGAACCATAAATTTTATTACAATTATTAATATAAAACCTCCAGCCATAACCCAATACCAAACACCCCTTCTTGTCTGATCCATCCTTACTACAGCAGCTCTTCTACTTTCTCTCCCTGTTCCAACCACTGATGTTACTATGTTGCTAACTGACCATAACCTTAATACTACCTTTTTTGATCCTGCTGGTGGAGGTGACCCTATTCTATACCAACATTTATTTTGATTCTTTGGGCACTCCGAAGCTAAATCCTTATCCCACCAGGTTTTGGAATAATTTCTCATATTGTAACATACTACTCCAGCAAAAAAGAACCATTTGGGTATAGGTATAGTATAAGCCATAATATCAGTTGGTTTCCTAGGCTTTATCATATGGGGTCACCGCATATTTACAGTAGGAATATATATAGATACACGAGCATACTTTTCCTCCACCACTATAAGTATCATTATCCCTACCGGAGTAAAAGTCTTTAGCTGATTGGCCACATCACACAGCAGCAACATTAAATGATCTCCCGCAATACTCTGAGCTCTAGGCTTTATCTTTCTCTTCACAGTAGGTGGCTTAACAGGAACTGTATTAGCCAATTCATTATTAGACATTATTTTACATGACACATATTACATATTATCCCATTTCCACTATGTCCCATCAATAGGGGCAATGTTTGCCATTATAGCAGGCTTTATCCACTGGTTGGTTCCCTCTATTTTCGGGCTACACACTTAACCAAACCTATGCTAAAAATCACTTCAGCACTATATTTGTAGATGTAAACTTAACTTTCTTCCCACAACATTTTCTCCGCCTACCTGGAATGCTTGGATGATACTGCAACTACCCCGATGCACCACTGCATGAGATATTATTTCATCTACAGACTCATTCATCTCATTAACTGCAGAGGTACTGATAGCCTTCATAGTCTGAGAAGCCTCTTTCCCAAAATGAAAGTTTTTCCCATTGAACAATTAAATAATAACTTACAATGACTTTACAGCTGTCCGCCTTTTTATTACACATTCAAAGAGTCAGCCTATGTAAAATCTTAAATGAAAAAGGAGGGACTCAAATCTCCAGAAACTGGTTTCAAGCCAATCCCATAAACCCTACAACTCTTTCAAGAAGACATTAATAAAATAATTACATCACTTTGTCAAAGTTAAATTATAGAACAAACTCTATATATCTTAATGGCCCACCCAGCCCAACAAGGACTCCAAAATGCCACATCCCCTATTATAGAAGAACAAATTGTTTTCCATTTGTGCCACCCTACCCTGGTACACAGTTCTGGCCCTAATTCCATATATGGCCCTGTCTACTAGCCTGGCCCTAGCCCTGTTGCTGGTCCTGCCATGGCCCTTGCCCTGCTCTGGCTTTGCCTTGATCCTGACATTGCCCTTCCCTGGTCCCAGTCCCAGTCTTGTCTCTGCCCCTGCATTTCTCTGGCACTGGTCTGGACCCTGGTCCTGCATTGGACCTGCCCTGCCTTTGTCCTGCCTTTGCTCTGTGCTATCCTGGACTGGCTCTGCCCTGTGCCAGTGCTGACCTGGCCCTTCCTTGTTCTGGTCCTCCCATTGCCCTCCCCAAACCTAACCTGGCCCTGAGCCCTCCCTAGCCAGGCCCAAGCACTGTATTGGATCAAACCTGACTCAGCCCAAGACATTCCCTGACCCTGTCTCAGCCCTTGCACTCGGCTCAGTGTCACTCAGTCCTGGCACTACCTGGCTCTGCCTTGGCATTTTCTCCGCCATCTCTATGGCCTGGCTCTGGTCATGCCCTGCCCTGGCACAGCCCTGGTCCTTGTCCTGCCTTTGCTTTGCCCTGGTTCTAGTTCTGCCTTGGCTCGGCCCTTAATCTGTCCCCATCCCTGGCCCTGCATTGGTCCTGAACTGGCCCTGGTCCTGCAATATGCCAGTCCTTCCATGGCTCTGACCTCACCCTGAACCTAGACTTGACCGTTTTCCCTGGACCTGCCCAGCCATTACCCTCTCCCTAGCACAGACCTGGTTAAGCCCCAATCTTGGCCCACCACTGTCCCTGCTCCTGACCCTCATCCTGCCATGACCCTGCTGTTGCCCTGGCCCTGGCATGGACCCTGGCGCTGACGTTTCCCTTGATTAAGGCCTTATCCTGACTCTGCCCCGGCCCTGGCTCTGACCCTATCCTGGCTCTGATTTCCTGGGCCCTGCCCTAGTACGCTGTTCTGGTCCTAGCCCTGACCTTGGCCCCATCACTGTCCTGGCCCTAGCTCTGGCTGGTCCTACCACAACCCTGGTCATGGCCCTGCTCTGTCTTTGCCTTGGTCCTGACATTTCTCTTTCCTGGTTCTGGTCCCAGCCCTGCCCTGGAGCTTCTCTGGCCCTGATCTGGACCCTGCCCCTGCATTGAAACTGCCCTGCCTTAAACCTATGCTATCCTGGCCTGGTCCTGCCCTGTGGTGGTGCTTACCTGGCTTTGCTATGTCTTGATCCTCCCATTGCCCTGCCGAACTCTGCCCTGGTTGTGTCCTGGCCTGGTCCAGGCTCTGACCCCTCCCTGGTCCTGCCCTGACCCTGTCTTGAATCTAACCCTGACTCAGCCCTGAACCTTCCCTGACTCTGCCTCAGCCCTTGCATTTAGGGCTCAGTGTCACTCAGCCCTGGCATTACCCACCTCTGCCCACTCTATGGCTTGGCTCTGGTCCCGCCCTCCCCTTGCCCTGCCCTGTCACAATCCTAGCTGTGGCCCTACCCTTGACCTGGTCCTGACCCACGATTACCCTACAGTTTTGTGCCCTGGCCATTTCCTCACCCTACATTGGCCTAGCACTGATCCTGCTCTACCATGGCTCTACCTTCTTCTCGCCGGCCTTTCCCTGACCCTGCACTGGGCTGATCCCAGGCTTATTCTGAGCATGACATGGCCCAGGCCCTGCCCTCCTCTACCCTGACCCTACCATGCACTGGGCCCAGTGTTTATCTTGGCCCTGTTCCTAGTCCTGCTCCTGCCCTGACCCTCCCTGCTTTTATCCATGCCATGTGCTCTGCTCTGCCCTGACCCTTTGCTGGCGATAACCTGCCCTGGCATTGCCTTTGCCTTGTTGTGATACTGGTTCTACCGTGGCCTTCCCTTGCCTTGGACCCTCCCTAGGCATTCCCTTGCTCTGGCCTTGTCACTAGGCCTGCCCTTGCTCTGGCCTTGTCCCTGCCCCAACTTTGATGTGGCCCTACACAGGCCCTGGAAATTCCCATGGCCCCACACCGGCCATGCCTTGGCTTTGGACCCATGCCTGTCTTTCCCCTGGCCCCTCCTTGGCTCTGTGTTGTCCCTGGACCTAACCCAGCTATGGCACAGCCCTTTCCCTACCCTGTCCTGTTCCTACCATGCACTGGTTCTGCCCTGGCCCTGCCTTTCCCCACTCATTCCCTCGCCCTGTGCTACCCTAGTTCTGCCTCAGCCCTCACCTTGCCCTGGTCCTAACCTGGTCTGCTATGTCCCTCCCTACCCTGACTTTGCCCTGCCCTGGCACTCCCTTTGGTCTGCCCTGTTTCTGACTCTGACCTGGCCCAGCCTTTGTCTTGGCTCCTGCCTGGCCCTGCCTTTTACCTAGTCCTTTTCTGGCCTTTCCCTTGTCCTTGCCCTGGCCTCTTCCTGGTCCTGCCTTGTGGGCTCCACCTGGTCCATGTCCCAACCCTGGTCTATCCTGCACCTATGCTGCCATCCCTGGTCCTTCCTTTCTCTACACTGGCCCTGCCATGTCTTAGCTCTGCACTACCCTATCCATGCCTTGTCCTGGCCCTGCGCTGGCCCTGACCTTGCCACGTCCAAATCCCTGTCCCTTCCCTATTTCTGGCTCTGGTCTTCGTATTGTCATGTCCATAGCTGTGACTCTACCCCTGGTTTTTCCCTGGCCATGAACCAGCCCTGGTCCCACCCTGCATCTTGCCCTGCCCCCTTCTGGTCCTGCTATAGTCCAGCCCTGACGAGGTCCTGCCCTACACTGCATATGCCACTGCCATGTCCTGGTCCCGACTTGGCCATGGCCCTCACACAGCCACTCATCCTGCCATAGTCCTGACACTAACTTGGCCCTGGGCCTGTCCTGACTCTGGCCTCTCCCTTTTATTGGCTGGCCCCATTCTGGCATGGCACTGTCTTGGCCCTCTCCCTGCCCTAGCCCCTACCTGCTGTGGCCTTTCCTTGGCCCTCTGAGATGCTGGATTGGCTATGTCCTGGTCCTGCCTCTGCCATGGATCTGCTCTGAGTGTGGCCTTGGCATTCAGCCTGGCTCTGCCCTAAACCTGCCCTGCCTTTTACCTGGCCCTACAGTGCTCTGCCCTGAACCCACCTTACCATTACCTGTGCTGTCTGGGTCCCAACCTGACCCTGTCTTGGCCATGTACTATCCTCCCCCTGTGCTGGTTCTGCCCTGGCCCCACCCTGACCCTGAGTTGGCCATGTCCTATACTGCCCCTGTCCTGGACCTGCACTGACCCTGCCTTGGCTCTGGCTTGGCCCCTCATCCTGACTCTGCTCCTGACATCGCCTCAGGTCTGCCAGTGGTCCTGGTCCTGTTCTGTCCTGACGTGGACTTGGACATGTCCTGGGCCTGATTTGTCCCAGTCCTGCCTTGGCATGTCTGTGCCCTACCCTACCGAGAGTCTTCCTGTTCTGTCCTATCCTGGCATTCCCATGGCCCCATTGTGTCATTGCCCTTTCTCACCAGGCACTAGTTGTGCCCTGGCCCAGATGAGCCCTAACCTCTCTTTTGAACTGTACTGACTGTACATCTCCCTGCCCTGGTTGTGCCAGGCCCCTGGCCCTGGCCCTGTCATAATCCTGACCCTAGCTCTGCCCGTATCCTGACATTGCTCTGGCCTGTATCCTGTGCCTTACCCTAACCCTGGCCTGACCATGGCTCTGACCCTGTCCTGGGTCTGATTTAATCATAATCTACTTTGGTACATCGTTCTGTCCCTAGCCCCCACCCTGGCTCTTTCACTGTCTTGTCCCTACCCCTGTTGCTGGTCCTGTCATGGTCTTGACCGTGCTTTTGCATGGGCTTTGCCTTGGTGCTAACATTGCCCTTTCCAGGTGCCTGCCCTGGCACTTCTCTGGCCCTGATCTCGACCTTTGCCATGCATTGGACCTGCCCTCCTTTGCCCTGTGCTATCCTGGACTGGCCCTGCTCTGTCTTGGCACTGAACTGATTCTGCCACGTTCTGGTCCTCTCAATACCTGTCCCAACCCTGTCCTGGTTGTGCCCTGGCCCTGACTCCTCCCTAGTCCTGGCCTGGCCCTGTCTCGGATCTAACCATGACTCAGCCCTAG